GAATCATCATCATCATAGAATCATCATCATCATAGAATCATCATCATAGAATCATAGAAGTAGCGCCTTCCCGCTCCAAAGAAGAGCACTTGAACATTTTCTACTCAATATTTATTAAAAAAAAAAAGGAAAAGTCTGGAAGTGAAACGAGAGCAGCCCTTACAATCAAATGAACGGAAAACAGCATTTCTGGTGACAAGCCTGAAGGACACACAGGCAAAAACGGCGGAATAGCCTTTCGTATTGCCAGGACAGAGCCTCCACCAGCTGCCTTTGCAGCTTCGCGACCGGTTTCTCCTAAAAACGCATGCGAGTCTCCAACACGCTGGTATTTTTGACCAGCTGGTTGTTACCGGTTTCAAGACAGTTTGCAAATTCCCATGTGGCATTACCTGGTCCTGAGTCAGAAGAGAGGTCCTGCGAGGCAGAAGCAGGCGAAGGCTCCATCTGAGGAATCTTGCAAGACTGCTCCTCCTCCCACTCCTCTGCCTCCTGCTCCAGTCGCCAGTTGTCCTCCTGGATGTAGTGCCTCAGCTCTGGGGGCAAGGCTTCGACTTCCTTCTGAAACTGTCCAACCTCGGAGCCATCATCCTGGTCTGGAAGAAAGGCAGGACCGGCATAGAACAAGACACCGTAGCGGGACACCACCGTTAGAGACTAGACAAACACACGATACCACGGAAGTCAAACCGGCTGCGGGATAAACGGGAAGAAACCCCAACTCCCTACTGGCTTTGCAATTCAGGATGATTCATAAGCCAAAGTTCAAAAATAAAGACGAACCTACAGAGTTATCTGAAATAAAACCCAGTGTTGAACCAGCATGAACCCCACGTAGTGTCATCTTTGGCCAAGTCTTAATATTTATGAAGAGCGAATGGCAGTTCTCCGCACCGGATATTTCTGATGCAGCCATTGTAAAAGCGAAGCATCTTCAAAAACAACACAAATTGCATTAAATAGGGAGGAAAAAAAAAAGTAAAAAAGTCACGGGTTCATTTCAGAAGCGGAACTGTCATAGAAGACAGACAAAGAACGACCTCCAGATCCTCATCAGCCATATTTAGCCATGAACAGGATGACAGTTCTCCATTGTTTCTTGCTATTTATTACAGCAAAATGAACCACGCGTGAAATTATTAGGTTCTTGTACAGCTGCCTGCCATGTATAGCGCCACGTGCGCAGTAATTTCTCCACAAAATTATTTATACATCGGCACCGCGAACGTCCTCGCAAGTCCGAGCCGCTCGTGCTGCCAGCCCGTGCGCTGGGAAAGGCTGCGTGAAAGAAGAGCCCCGTTTGGGTTCAACCTAACGATATCACTAAAAAAACGAGCCCACGAGTCAGAAAGCATGAGAAAAACGGGAGGGATGAAGTAGGAGGCGTTCCACGTGGCCTTAGAAAGAAGCACTGTCACACAGTAAGGAGTCGAAACAGGGGCAATGGATTTAAGCTGAAAGAGGGCAGATTTAGGTTAGATACGAGAAAGAAATTTTTCACTCTGAGAGCGGTGAGGTACTGGAACAGGTTGCCCAGAGAAGTTGTGGATGCCCCATCCCTGGCGGTGTTCCAGGCCAGGTTGGATGAGGCTTTGGGCAACCTGGTGTAGTGGAGGGTGTCCCTGCCCATGGCAGGGGGGTTGGAACTGGATGATCTTTGAGGTCCCTTCCAACCCCAACCATTCTACGATTCTATGAAACGAAAACCATCAGCAACGGCTGCATCTTGGAAAACAGGGAGCTCAACCATTTATACACATTAAAACCCACATCAAGGACTGTACCCAGTCTCACCAGTACAGATCCTTCTTCAGTTTGCAACCCTGCCGGGGATTTCGAAAGAAACCGAGAACGGAGCGAACTATTTCACTTCTATCCGGGGCGAAGCTTTTTGGCGTTGCCAAAAGGCAACCGTGGCAAGGAGAAGCTGGGAAGGACCGACGGCGCGGGCCAGAGCGACGCGACGATGCGCCAACGCCTCACGAACCCGCGGTCCTGGCTCCAGTACCTGCGACCACCTCGTCGCTGATGTACATCAGGCAGTAGGCGCTGGCGTTCCTCGAGCCTCCGAACGAATCCCTCTCCAGCTCTTCCCACGACGACTCCGTCACGGAGATGTCGTTGTACTTGAGCCAGCTTTTTCGAGGCTGGTCGTACACGAAGGCCCAGTAGTGACCGGCGTTCGCTTGCCCCTCGTGGACCAAGACGGCGTGCAAACGATAGGGAACCTGCGGGGTCACACGGACACGGCTTTCAGACGCACGTCGAGTCCACGGGTTTCTCTGACTTCTGCACAAAACCTGCAGATACGTGCACAGCCGTAGCCTGGTACGAGACCTCCTGACTCACACTGTAAGTCTCCTACTCTACGAGAAATGACCATTACGGGGAAAAACAACATGATTTTCGTGAAGAGCCCTTGCTCTGCTTCGGCAGAACGTTGGGATTTTTGGCAATCCCATAAAGGGGACAACTTAAACCAACCGGTATCGGCAACGTCGGTTTAGCGCTTCTTACCTGCTGGAGAAGAGGGTCACAGTACATTTGTTCCATGGACAGGTTGACTCTGGAAATAGACTCCTTCAGATCTGCCCAGAACATCACGAGTGAGAGAAATACGTAAAAATTAATGACTACTCATCAGGCTACTCTGGCTCCCCCTTTCACTTCCAAAAGTTTGAAGCCACTCAGCAACGATCCAACACACCGAACACGGGAGCTGGATCGTGCACAAGACTATGTGTAGTTTGGGATACACCCAGTCGAGGCAACAGAGAGGAAATCGGACTGGTGCTCGACAGAAAAACCCCAACGAATGGACTAGAGGCCAACCTTGCACGTCTTGCTCGATCTCGTTTCTCCATCGCTGCAGACACGTCCGAACGAGGGTCAGCTCTTCCTCGGAAACCACGTGAGGAGCTGGACGTTCCGACGCTTCCGCGGGAGAACCAGAGGGCTGGAGCGGCGCGCTCGGCTCTTGCTGCGGCGAGGGGTTTGCCGAAACAAAAGCTGCATCTTCAGTGCTAGCATCCGTCCTTTCTACGACGCTGCGAAGCAAGACCCGAGAGTAAGGGACAGGTTTTTCAGTCTTTCCCTTGTGGTTTTTTTTTTTTCCTTCTTTTTGGAAAAGAATATGGAATAAGCCAGAAAAAAAAAAAAAAAAGATCGCTCCAGAGCCAGAGCAGGATTTCCCTTCCAGGACAGCACAAAACTAACGAGAACGAGCACGTTGAAACGTCCTCCTTCCTCAACAGACCAAATTAAAACATTGGACAAACACAAGCCAAAATTCTTGCAGAACTCTCCAAGTACAGATCGTAGAATCATAGAATGGCTAGGGCTGGAAGGGACCTTCAAAGGTCATCTAGTCCAACCCCCCTGCAAGGAACAGGGATATCTCCAACTAGATCAGGTTGCTCAGGGCCTCATCCAACCTGGCCTTGAACGTCTCCAGGGATGGAGCATCCACCACCTCTCTGGTCCACACTGAGCAAATTCTAAAAATCCCTTCCCTTACTAAGAAACTCCTGTATTTACTCAGCCTAATTTAGAGGGTAAACCAACCGTGCCAGCCAGGTCTGTAATGATCCAATATTGCCGTAATTTACTGGCTGAGGAAGCAAAAAAATTAGTAGCCCAACCAAAAAGAGCACGTAATTTACCTCGGAATCGCTGCTCAGACGAGGAAAACGGTCATCCTTTTGGAAAAGGAGAAAATAGACTGGATGCCGCGCTGCACGCACACAAACAGAGCCAAAGCAGCGACTGACCACTTGCACGGGCGCCCACGCGCCGCAGCATCACGCCCGCGAGCGCTCCGATAAATAATCCGCCTCTGGAACGCAAGCCGGGAGCTGAAAGGCCAAGCGTTCTCCTACGAGTCGTTCTTGTTCCTGCTTACTCACCCGTCGGGCTGCGGAAGCACGTCCGAACTGGGAGGCTCAGCTGGGGACGGCCGGAGTGGTGCTGGAGAGCCCCGAGCGCAAGAAACGACTCCGGCCGCCTTCGCAGCGATGAATTCCAGGACGTACTGGAGCATGTCGGGCAGCGGGAAGCGGGCTGGGCCAGAGCCGTATTTCATGTACCTGCAGAAAAACGCGAGGTTAACGCAGGCATGCAAATGGTTAAACCTCAGGGGACGACAGAGGAGCAACAGGGAAGAAAAGCCCTGGGTTGGGATGGAGACAGCTTACACGGGACGCAACTCACCGCCTCCCACCAGCAGACCTTGAGGCTGCGGGGGCATCGCTCGAAACACCGCTGTGCTATCAGCACTGGCTGAGTCACCAAAACAAACCAGCACCACCGAACTGGCTGCTCACGGAGACCATTAACTCCATCCCTGCCAGAGCCTGCAGGATGCCACGCACGAGCCTAAACGCAAACCGTTCTCGTGACACCCACCGGAACCCCCACCGAGCACCGGCACCGCCACCGAGCACCGGCACCGCCAGGGCTGCTGCGACGCGGCGCACCTCCACCTGCTGCTTGGTCACAGAACGGTCAGTTCAAAAGCAAAAACTGCACTAAGCAAGTTCTGTGCTGATTAGAAGGGCTTTTACGCAAAGCATCTGGAACAGGAATTCTTCTGGTTGTCCACGAACCAGATCTTTCCCATTGATCCCCTTCCTTCCCCAAGAAATAACGCCAAACTCTCCGAAGCTGGAGAGGAGCTCTGATATAAAAAAAATTGATGTAGATTCTTTTTAATCATAGAATCACGGAATGGTTTGGGTTGGAAGGGACCTCAAAGATCATCTAGTTCCAACCCCCCTGCCATGGGCAGGGACACCCTCCACTACACCCGGTTGCCCAAAGCCTCATCCATAATGTATCGCTGGGCTTCCTCGCTGAAACTTGCCAACGCAGCTGACAGGGACAATTGTCCTATTTAAAGAATTTATTCTTGTCACAGCATCAGTAATACCCAGAAACCACCAAAGCCACGAGTTTGCTCTTAAAAACACAATTCCTCGCTCCGCGCTCCTTGGAGCAAGCCGGGTTCTGTTCCTCCTTCCCCTACAAGCTTCTCTTCTATCGGAAAGCTTATTTCCGATATAGGGGAAGGGCTCTTGACATCAGTGATGGGTGATAGGACAAGAGGAAATGGGCATAAGCTTAGTCAGGGGAGGTTCAGGTTGGATGTTAGGAAGTATTTCTTCTCTGAAAGGGTTGTCAGCCACTGGAATAGGCTGCCCAGGGAGGTGGTTGAGTCCCCATCCCTGGATGTGTTGAAGAATAGGGTGGATGATCTACTTAGGGATATGGTTTAATGGGGATTAGGGACGGTTGGACTCGATGATCTCTAAGGTCTTTCCCAACCTAGAAATCTATGAATTTAGAGGGAAGCATTTGCACGCTTCTGCAGGGCCCCAAAGCAGAGCTAGCCGACCACCCACCTTTCCAGTTTCTGCTGCAGAATCACCATTTTCTCCTTCAACCTCTTCATTTCTTCTCTTTTCATCCGAATAAGCTCTTTGCTGCTGTACAGGTACCTACACGGAGAAACACAGAGCCCCGCCACGTGAGAGGGGTTTGCTTCTGACACCCACCACCTTTCCCAGCAAGCACTTCAGAACCCTTCCTTGCTCGCCCACACGACCTTTTTCATCTCTTTAACAACGACAAGGCAACGGCTTCAAACGTACCGCGCGGCGGAACGACTCACCTGTCCATATAAATAGTCTGGGGGAATTCTAGCTTGCTGTGAATTTTCTCGGGCTGTCCTAGGGACTGATTGAACTCAAATCGGGAGAGTTCAAAGGTCAGTACTGGTGGGAGTTTTGTAAACCAGCGCTGCAACGAAAGCAGAAATGCCCCCAGAGGGACTTGTTTTAAGACGACTGCTAAACGGCACAGTTCAGCTGATCCTAAACGATTCCGGGCCGATCCTAAACGCCCGTCTGTCTTTACATAGAATCATAGAATGGTTAGGGCTGGAAGGGACCTTCAAAGGTCATCTAGTCCAACCCCCCTGCAAGGAACAGGGACATCTCCAACTAGATCAGGTTGCTCAGGGCCTCGTCCAACCTGGCCTTGAACGTCTCCAGGGATGGAGCATCCACCACCTCTCTGGGCAACCTGTTCCAGTGTTCTACAACTCTCATGGTAAAAAATTTTTTCCTAATATCCAACCTGAATCTACCTCCCTCTATTTTAAAACCATTACCCCTTGTCCTATCACAACAGGCCCTCCCGAACAGCCTCTCCCCATCTTTCTTGTAGGCCCCCTTGAGGTACTGGAAGAACATACTCAATTAGCACACGTTTGGTTTACGGGGTGACTAGTCAGAAAGCCGAATTTTACAAGACTAAAATTTCCACTTCCATTTTACATTTGCACCGTGAAAAAAAGACAAAACCACATAATAGCTTCCAGAAAGTTACTTTGCGTTGCCTGATGCGCGCGGGCGGCTTGCTGGGCCGTTAACTGAATTTTACAAGATTAGCAGATAACTACACAAACTCTGGATGTCAGCCAAGAGCCTCCAGAAGACTTCTTTTCCAACGCAGACCACATGCAATGATGAAGAACAAAACAGAAGCCCTTAGGCAGTACCTGATTCCTCATCCTCTCCCAGCCTAGGTACAAACTATCCAATTTAGGGGATTCAGAGGAGACACCCACTTTCTGTACGTTTCATACACTGTTTCAAAGAGCCACGCTGAAAGAAAAATTCTCAGTTGAATTTACGCTTCCTCTCTCTGCCCCTGGGTTCACAAACACCTCCAGCACCCACTGCCAGAAGTCTCCTGTGCCCACCTCACCGCAGCACCACCCAGACAATGCTCCCTGCTAAGCTCCTTCTCCTTCACAGGATTCATGTCAGATGTCCCACCGCAACCGATATGCCCCACGCCACGCCGCGATGGTTTTAGATCTAAAGGATTTCCAACGCAGCTGACTTTTTTTAAGTTATTTTTAAAAAAATTTTGGAAGGAAATGGCCAGGTAGCAGAGTTTTTTGAGGAGATGCCCAATCTTCTGAACAAGAGAACGTAAGCACGGAGAAGGAACGATTTGCACACCTATTATCGAGGAGAAATTAAGTTCTCGTTAATGCCACCGATGCTTTGAGCTGCGGTACGCTCAGCCACGTTCTCAAGAGACAAAACCCACCCGTTCTCTGGGTCCCCTACCGTGCAGTCCTCTAGCCACCACCTCCTAGGAAGTGAAATGAAGATGCACAGTTCTGCCAGTCAGAAATAAATACAAATATTTCTCAGAAACAAAGTCAGAGCCTTTTCCTTCTCTCCGTACAGACAAGGAATGATTAAAACTTCTCCACGATGGGTCCAGTTTCCCGTATTTTTCGGAAAAGGATGCGGAGGAACTAAAAAGCTTGGACCGAACAGAACGTGCCCGCTGAGCGCCCTACGACCCTCCGTCGCTGGCACCAGCCTACACCAGTTTCACCTGCACCTGCTGTAAATGCACCTGCCCAGCTTCGGGCAGGAACCAGGAAAACCAGAAACGAACATCTGAGCCCAGAGGTGGGCATGGTGTGCCTGCCCAAGGCTTCGTTGCTCCTTTGCTAGTGTGAACCACAGCAACGTGGTTTTCACTGAAATACCTTTCCCAGTGCCCTCCATGCCAGGCAGGCACCTTTGCAAGCTGCTTCCCAGTCCTTCTCTAAGCTAACTTCTCAGCTGCGCTTATACGTGTAGGATGCTGAACGTAGTGGTACTCCTTCCCTTCCTACTTTGCTGCAATTAAGTATTTTATGATGGGTTCGTGATGCGTGGGATGCAAAAAAAAAAAGAGAAAAAAAAATCAGCAGTGTCAAAAGAGGAGAGTGAGAATGAGAAGAAAAAAACACAGGCTGTAATGAAAAAAAAAGAGAAAAAAATCAGCGGTGTCAAAAGAGGAGAGTGAGCATGAGAAGAAAAAAAAACACAGGCTGCAACAGGGAGAAAGATACAAATTCCAAAAGGCGTACCATGGAGTTAAGCACTGCACTTTTACCCTCCGAAAACACGGAGGCAGTGGTTCTCCCCCTGCCCAGGTACAGGTAGGCTTCAACAGAAAGAGAGAGACTTGATCACACTTGCGTCAGAAGCAGATGTTCAGCTTTTTCATCTAAAATCCACTCCTCGAACTGGTGATACGGGACAACACACCTTCATGAACCGGCCAAGACTCAGCGTCCCACCATGTTACACCAACGTGTTTACGTGAGCTTCCAGGTAGAATCATCATAGAATGGTTTGGGTTGGAAGGGACCTCAAAGATCCCCCAGTTCCAACCCCCCTGCCATGGGCAGGGACACCCTCCACTACACCAGGTTGCCCAACCCAGAAAATATCCCTTATTTGATTCTTAGGGAACACATGCAATCCCCAGCACGTACTGAGACATCTCTGCTCTACATGCATTGCATTTTTCTGCAGCAGGCAACCAAAAGCTCCACGAGAACCCGCGAAACTAACCTCCTGTCCGTATTTCACTGACTGAGACGCCGTCGCCTCGTCCATCTCCCCCTCCACCATGGCTCCTTCCAGGCACTCGTTCAAGTTTCGATAACCATTTACCTGAAGGGGATACTGACCAAAGGTTTCGATCTTGGAAAAAGTATTGCCTGGATGATGGAAACGATACAAAAACCATGAAGCAACTTAGGAGAAGGAAAACCTCTGGGTAACCCAAGAGTTTGCAGTCAGCACCAGTTAGAGGCGCCGCCTGCAAGAACCGAACCGCGTACAGCTGTGCACACATCTGCCAGGCTGAGCCTCCTTATAAACGAGCGCTTTCAATGCCTGCGCTCTGGCGAGTGTTCCATGTTTTCAGAAGACAAGACTTCAGAAGCGTTACGGACAATTTAATCACGGAGACTATTTGTGAGTCTCAAGAACTAGGCAATTCCATCAGGAACGTGCAACAAAATCCTGCTGTAGCCGTCACTGATAAAAATCAAAATGCTCGGAGGATTTAAAAAGCCAATCTCCCAAACCCTTGACTCACCCTCGTGGACACCCTCAGTCAAGAAAGTCCCATAGAAAAGCTGTACCATCGGGTTTTCAGATTTGTCCCCAGGGCTCCTGCTTCAGAGAGAAAAAGCGCACGTTCATTGGCGGCTGTAGGCTGCCAAAAAGCCCCAAGTCGTCGTCTAAGCCTTTGCCTGGGAACCCTCCTACAGCCAAAAGCACAGTTTTCCATCCCAGCACAAAACGCAGAGGGAGCTTCTCACCTGTTTTCATACTCCAAAGCACATCGTAACGCTTACCCTGGCACGGGAAGCAAAAAAGTTACGAAACGCAGTTCCAAAA